CCAGATTGTGTTACATGATATGAAACAGTATAGATTAAAGGAACTACTTTGAGCCACTCTTAGAGATGTTTCCCCAGATACCTACTGTCAGCTCATTATTAGTCAAGCTTCAGAGTTAAACAGCGGCCGACGTTACGACCTGCTTACAGACGCACGCATTCACAAACATCACAAGTCCGTCCTCTCGGGGACGTTTAGCGCCGTGCTGGAGGGCAAACTGGCGTCGGATGTTCCCAGGCCGAAGGCAGCTGGAGTTTCTGTGTACACCGACTCCAGCAGCTCCTCCGAGGAAGCCGAGGCGGAGGCCGAACCGAGTGCCGCGGCGAAGCCTTGGGCGGTCTGGGAGGCCTGCGCGGCGTCCGGCTGGACCTGAGCGAGCCTCTCCATCTCCGCCTGCTTACGGCCTCGCCTCTTGCCGAGGACCTTCACGTAGTTGGCCGGGACGAGTCCCGTGGTCTGACCGTCCACGCTGGCCAGCAGCCAGCCTCGCACCCGGGGCTGTTGCTCTGAACACAGGATACAAAGACATTACCTCGGCTGATACAGTGAACTGACCCTCACGGCCACCCACATGTGGACAGCGCTCACCTTTAGGGGCGAGGTTGAGCATGTCTCCAGCTCGCACAGAAATCTCCTCCTCAGACGCAGCGGAGAAGTCGTACTCGGCTCTGGCCACGACGTGGTCGTCCTCCCCGCTCGCCCAGTTAGTGGCTGAAGAGAGAAACACAAAGCAGTTTTAAAGAGTTAACGACTGCATTCATCAACGTCTCTTTCTTTCACCTTCATTGTTCCAGCTGCTTTAAGAGTGAAGGTTGACTAACTGATAACTCTTCACTCTTCAGCTGCTCTATCAAAAATAAAAGGCAATAAAGAGCCAAAAAGAATTAGATATGGTGTCCAATCAGTGTAACTCCCTCCGTGTGCATTATAGTGACGAGCGCTATAATCTGACAGTCTCTGTCGAGGAACAACCACCGGCTGGTTGAGAACAAACTGCAGGAATTAATGAGTATAAAATATAAACCAAGTATTAAAAAGTTCTTCCTCTCTTCTACAGGAGAGTCCTGAACGTCCCACCGTTGTCTCCGGAGTCGGGGCTGGAGCTCAGCAGCTTCCAGATGAGGTAGGGCCCCCCCAGGACTACAGCGAAGAACAGAAAGATGGGCCAGGACTTCACGGTCTGCTCCTCCATCCCCGGCTCCGACCCTCTGGACGCTCCCGTCGCCAGAGCGTCGCTCGCACTGTCGGCCCACAAGTCCTCCACCTCGCCGCCCGCCCTCCGGCCCAGCAGCCTCTGCAGCCGCCGGTACAGGTAGCGCAGAGTGCGAACCAGAGCGAAGGCCGACAGAACCCGGGTGAGGTGTGCACGCAGCCGGGTCAGGTGGTTGGCGACGTCCAGCACGGCGCGGAAACTGTTGTAGACGGCGGAGAAAGTGGCGTCCAACATCATACTGACGGAGGCGAAGGCCTGGACGATGCTCTCGATGGACTGGAAGGCGCCGCGGCTGCTCTCCTCGGCCTGCTGCACGAACCGGCTGGGGGCCACTTCCTCCGGGTGGGGGAGGCGGCCGTACCCTCCCAGGCCGAAGCCGCCGGCGCCGTAGCCTCCACTGAAGCCGCCGGCGCCGTAGGGGCTGTACCCCCCGTACATGGAGCTCCCATAGGGGCTGTAGGAGGAGGCGAAGGAGCTGTAGGACGGACGGTAGGACTGCTGGACGGGACGAGGGGGCACTGGGGGCGCCATCCGGGTCAGAACGGGAGGGCCCGCAGGAGCAGAGGGGCCGGCAGGAGGGCCAAAGTTCACAGACCTGTTTGGTGACAAAGTCCAGACAAGAGGGACGGGTCAGAACCGCTTCACACTGTTCTGATCCACAGACAGCTTTATATACTGTTCTACATATTAACGTTATTAGTAGTATTTCTACTTGTTTAAGGTCTTTCAGGTGTTTAACATACATTCACTCCTACAGATACAGCAGGTACTGATAATACACATTAAGTGAATAGAATAAGAGTTATATGTATATTATATACAGTCTTTTTTATACCACAGATCGTGAACTGACAACATCTGGTTTCTTCCATTAGGAACCATGTGGGTCAATCTCTAACCAGGACACTCTAAAACAACCTCAAACACAGAGAATTACCTCCTTTAAACCCATTAAAATCACATTTATTGGTATTTAATCGCTTACAACAGCAACCAGTGACACGACATCAGTTACACAACACTTTGAGTTAATAGTGCAGAGCAGAGCCCGGTGAGAAGGACACAGTTTAACCACAATAACATTATAAAAGCAGATAAACACTGAACCCCAGGAGCCCACTGCGCATGACAGGCCGCAGCCTTAGCTCGCTCTTAGCTCGGCTTGGCTAAGCTAATGTCTACATCCGCGTAATAAACATTAAAAGCTCTCCGCGGCGGAAAACTCACACCTAAAGCAGGCCCTTTTTACCTGTTAACTATAGGTGCACTTCATCGGCCCCGGAAAACCCGCCTTTC